ACAGCATTAACAAAGAAAGGACATCATTGGGTCATGTGTTACCTACTACTATTCTGTCTATTTGTATTCTTTGCAGTGTATTATTTAAAAAGATAGCATAGATAGTCAATAAAAATATATCAACTGTTGTTTATTACTGAAAGAATATACAATACAGTACATTAAGATTCTAAATATTTTCATCACATTTTAATTTCGGCTAAAAACTCATTGTAAATACCATTCTGTTAATATGAATATAAATTATGAGACAATGAAATGTATTTTCTACAAATATTACAGTAGATTAAATTGTTTGGTATTTAAATTTTCATGTTTTGAAAATTCATTTTAGCCCAATGAGGTTGAGGGCTTTACTAATTATTACAGTATAAATGTCCAAATCAATTAAATTTGTATTGGAATTGAAATGTACTGGTTTAATATAAAGAGAACAGATTTTATCAAAAAGGACAAAAAGTTTCCTGCATTATATTGTAGTAATTAAACAACTCTAATTTTTTCCCCATTTTTGTAAATACTGTATTTGGACGAAATGAAATACAAAATTTTAAAATGGCATTGTTTACTATGTGACACTAATTACTTACTTATTTTTAAATAACTAATTCATTAATTCACAGGAAGTGAACATGTTTCACTGTTACATTTTATTAAGAATAATTTAATTATTTATTAAAATTAAATTAATTAATTAAGAATAATTTTAATTATTTATTAAAATTTATTAATTAATTATTTATTGAAATTTATTAATTAATCATTAATTAATTAATTAATGATAATTAATTTTATTAACAAATAAAAATTAATTATTAATCAATCAATTAATTTCAATAAATAATTAAAATTATTATGTAATGGTGAAACACACATTCACTTTCTGTGCAAAGAAATTGTTCAATTCAAAACGGGGCATTGCTGGAAGGGCAAAAAATTGTAGTATTTTGCCAAGAAAGATTGTTTTGTTATCAATTTTTTTAATAGTTCAGTTTTACGTTTGAAATTCCCGCCATTAGAACTGATTGGCTTCCCGAGTTGTTTACACTCACAAAACCACATGTAGACTATTCCTAAACGGTCTACTGGCTATATAGTTAGTGCTGCCTTCCTCTGAATTTTTCATGAACTGAATTATTTACTTCAAATAGTGTAAACATCCAGCTAATTTTTTAGCACATTGCGACTATTTATTGCAAAAAAAAATGCAGAACTTCAACAGGGCAGCCGAAGGACAGTTTCTGTTTCAGCACGAACTAGTAAAACAACATGTGCAAAACCTCATATCACAATGGTGCGCATTGCTCAATAAAAACCAGCCCGTTGCCGTGTTCCTGGCCTTAGAGATTTGCAAGAGTTTACAAAAGGATAAAAGTTATGCCCTGTTGGAAATGTTTCTAAACGCCTTGCCCGAAAATGAAATTTATGGCGAAAACGAAGAAATTGTCCGAGCTAAAATTTCCATCGCATACGAGACAAAGAACTTTCAACTTGTTTATGAATTGATTGAGGTAGGTTAGACTTCTTCGTCTTTATAATAATGATGTACAACAGTCAGGTTAATTCTTTATCTATAGACCACTATTTAATTTAGGAAATTTAATTTACAAGTTGAAATGTTATGAAATTAACAATATTTCATTGGCATGTTTCCCTAGAGAGGTTTCAAATGACTTGCTGTAAAAAACGACGCATCTTATGAGTTCATTGGCGAAAATAAACATTGTCTAAGCCGAGAAATCAAAGCTAAAGTTTATGTAAAATGATTAGTTTATCACATATAAAACCACCAACACGGCAGTGTTTTATCCGAGGCGAAGCCGAGTACCTTTAGGTCTGATAAAACACGCACTGCGAATGTTTTAAATTGCTTCAAAAACGATCAATCTAGTAAGTTCATTGACGAAGTAATTTTCAAAAAATACGTTGTGTAAGTCGAGAAAATCAAAGTTAAAGTTTATGAAAATCAAGGGAAATCTCTATCACATATAAAGATACGACAGGCTTATGATTTTTCTTTGTGTTTTCCTCATGAATTATTACATGTAATTAGTTTTTTAAAGCTAAGTAGCTAATTCAATTAAAATTTAATGCACAAATCGCCGTCCTAGTTTCGAACAGTTAACCTCAAAATGCTTTTTTAAAGTTTGCTGTCTGCCCTGTTAAGCGCCAGTCTGTAACTCGTCATAAATCTATTTTATGCACCCGCAGAAAAATCAATTTCAAAACGGAGACGACTTGGTCCAAACTTGGGACAACGCACATTATGGTGAAGAATTTGAACGAACTAAAAAACCGCTATCTGCTTTGAACCGTTTCAGAATTAGAGAGAGGTAAGGCTTTCCCGCAGCCTAGTGACGGGAAGAGAGGACCAGCAGAATTCGACAAATCTTTGAACCATTTTTGCCCAGCTTCTATACTTATTTACATCGATGTTTTTGTAATTTGTATAACATTATGCCCGCGCGCAAATGCACATATATGCACTTTGTAAGAATTGCAAGCGCGCATTTAGTCAATAATTTTATATACATCCCGCGCGAATTTTGCAAAAGAATGCAGTGTGGCCCACTGGTCTGGCCTCAGTAGAACGAGTGTTAAAAATTTTATAGGTTTCTACCACCGGAAACCATCTGTCCTGGACGCGAAAGAAGGAAAGCAAGTTTGGGAGAGTCTTCAAGACATGTTCTACAGCAATGGTTGGATGAACACAGAAACAATCCTTATCCTTCGAAAGAAACTAAAGAATATTTGTCAAAAGAGGCAAACGTTACCCCTGAACAGGTATCAGAATGTCAAATGAAGATTTGGAAATGAGTGAAGTGGTACTTAGTCTCTAGGTTGTGCGCGGCCTTGTTGAAAAATTTTTGCATTCGTTCAGGCAAACAAGTTTTCTTTGCCAATTACAGTGAAAATACAAAAAGTGTCCCACTTCCGCTTCTGTAGTTTGTTGTGATTTACTGTAATTTGTTGTTTTTCTGTAGCGATTACCGATTTATCGGCAAATACTGCGATAAAATTTAAATTTCGTTCCTTTTATGCAATGAAACTAACGAAAAATGTATTATTTCCCTTTGCTACAAATGATCATATTTAAAAATAGAAAAAACTAAGTTTTTTCGCGGTATTTGCCGATAAATCGGTAATCGCTACAGAAAAACAGAACAAATTACAGTAAATCACAACAAACTACAGAAGCGGAAGTGGGACACTTTTTGTATTTTCACTGTAAGTTTTGTTTGCTCGTACCATGGATAAAATAAATCCTATCCATTTATTTTATTATCCATGCTCGTGCAGTGTACGGCAAAAAATTGACAATTTTTTCTTGCCAAAGAATATTTTGTTCGTGTGTACGACCGCCAACTTGACAAGACTGACAAGTGTACAAAAAATACTTCTGTGGTTTTGGCGAAAAAAAAGCGGTCTCTCCGTGCACACGAGAAGACAAACTTGTCAAGGAAAACTTGTTGATTGTACACACGAGAAGTTGTTCCCAGTTGTTGTAACAAGTTTGGAACAAGCTGTTAACAACTTCTAACAAGCTTAATGGCATTATCAGACTTATTACAAGGTTGTTCTAACAAGTCTGATACAATCACGATATAGCAAGAATGCTACAAAGTTGACGACACAAAGTTGGAACAATATTGTTATATCATGACTGCAGCGGACTTGTTGGAACAACCTTGCAACAAGTCTGATATCAACAACTTGGTACAAGTTGTTAACTGCTTGTTCCAATCTTGTTAACAACTTGGGACAAGCAGTGCGAACCAATTTGTTCATGGCTTATTAGCAGGCTTGCTACAAGATGTGAGATTTTTATGCGTGTAACATGGCGCCTTCTCAGAGGTATAGAGGTACACATGTAAAAACGCACAAGTTGTTACAGGTCTGCAAACAAGTTGTTACAAATATGTTCACAAACTGTGAACAAGTTGGCTTCGCACTGCTTGTCCCAAGTTGGCAACAAGTTTGGAACAAGCTGTTAACAACTTGTAACAACCTTGTTGATATTATCAGGCTTTAGCTTGTTACAAGGTTGTTCCAACAAGTCCGATACAGTTATGATATAACAGTATTGTTACAACCTTGTGTCGTCAACCTTGTAACATTCATGTTTATCATGACTGTATCAGACTTGTCAGAACAACCTTGTAACATTCTCGTTATATCAGGACTGTATCAGACTTGTCAGAACAACCTTGTAACGATAAGGCCATGCATCAAGCTTGTTACAAGTTGTTAACAGCTTAATTGTTCCAAACTTGTTACAACAACTGGGAACAAGCAGTGCGAACACAACTTGTCGACAGCGTGTGAACAGATTTGTAACAACTTGTTTGCAGACCTGTGACAACTTGTGCGTTTTGACGCGTGTAGCGCGCTAACTCGTGATTGCCACGTTTGTTTTTTTTTCTTGAACTCTCCCAGGTGAAAACTTGGTTTGCCAACGCAAGACGACGTCTTGCTCGCATGCAAGGTAAGGAAAACAGACGTGTATCTTGGCAAAGATACTCGAGGAAAAGAGTAAAAGAAAAATGTCATAAGCATACAGGCTCCAGTACATCTCTAGAAGAAGATGACAACTGCAAGGTAAGGTGGAGTCAATGAAGTGCTACCCGAAACTCTGTCTCAATTTGCGAAAAGGAAAGTGTAGCTTTTACATTTTAATTATTTGAGGTATGCACGTAAAAATCTCACAACTTGTCAACAAGATGTGTTCGCAACAGGCTTGTAGCAAGCTTGTCAACAATTTGTAACAATGCTGTTATTTCATCAAGTTGCTACAAGGTTGTCACTCACAACTTGTTGACAAATTGATGAATTGCAGGACGAAACAAGTTGTTGGAAGAACCTGTAACAAGTCTGTTGAGCTCAACAACCTTGTAGCAAGTTGTGAACAAGACGCTGACAAGTTGTCAACAAGCTGGGAACAAGCAGTGCGAACACATCCTGTTGACAAGTTGTTGGAACAGCATTGCTACAAGTCTGCTGCAGGTTTGTTACAACTTGTGCGTTTTTACGTATGTATTTGTTTTTAGATTATTGAACCAAAAGCATTTGGACAGAAAGAGGATGCAATTCCTCTACATGGTGAAGACAGCGACTTGATGAGCGACATGACAGTCAGTATGTCGGACAATGCTGGAATAACGTCAAGACCTTCTCTACCTCCGATCTCCTCTTTCACATCACCGTGTGGTTTTGAAGGAATCCATAAAAGGTAATCAAGGTTGGCTTCTAAACTGTTCTTCCTAGAGATCCAGTAAGGTACATACTTTATTGTTCAGTGTTACTACAGCTGGAAACCTAAACTAACTTTATTTATACTGGATAGCTCTATCAGTTCTAAACTGTTCTCCCTAGAGATCCAGTAAGAATCATTTCTTATTGATCCAGTGTTACTACAGGAGGAAACCTAAACTAAACTAACATTTATACTGGATAGCTCTATCAGTTCTAAACTGTTCTCCCTAGAGATCCAGTAAGGTACATACTTTATTGTCCAGTGTTACTACAAGAGGAAACCTAAAGTAATGGCTAGCTGAATTTACTGAAAGATATATATATCCTATATATAGCAGTTCGACAAAAGTCATCCCTTCATTGATCTAGCATTATCACAGGAGGAAATTGGATCACGTGAACAATGTTTGCGGAGTTTGGTAGAGTCAAACTGGAAGCATTCTTCTCCTTCGAAAAATGTAAAAATTGCAACCAGTAGGAAACATATTTGGAAACTGGTTAAAAAATTGTTTTATTTTAAAAACACATTAACAAAATTTTAAAATAAAACAATTTTTAACCAGTTTCAACCTTCCAAACTTTACTTTTAACTTCCAAATATTCTTATCCTTTTCTTCTTCTTCTTTTGGATCCGGAATCGAATCCCAGACTCAAAAGTGAAAGAAACTCTATTGTGATTCAGAAAAGCTGAAAATTTTCAACTTTAATTGTATTTTCAGACTGGTATGTCCACTTACCAATGCAACCGACAAATCACAGGATATGAGAAGTTTACCAGACAACATTCCTCCATTGGAATTGGTAGAGCCGCCAGCCGTTGTCAATCCAAGTCTACACGCGCCAACACCTTTAACGTATTACTACGATTATTATTCGTCTTTTCCCTTCCAAGTTCCGTGTTGTGCGATTTGTAACTCGTGTTTTTATCAATTAAATTCTTCGTTCGACTGTCAAGATGCCCATTTGATCACGTCAGAGAAAACATGGCCGACCAACACGCTTCCGTGTGGATCTCCTGCGAATCTACAGCGCTCTCGTGCAGCTTCGGCGTTATTGGATTTGTCTTCAGTACCGAGAATGCCCGGAATTTAAACCAAGAAATGTACCGAAAATAACACGAAATTTAATGTTTATGACAAATCTGTTTCAACCATTGTAAATCGTTTTGTTGTGTTGCGTAGAAAAAGTGTTTATTTATCACAATGTTTTGTTCTGTAAATGATATAGTTCATTAAAATGTATTTTTTGTTGTACATGGTTCAATTTTTTTCTGTTTTTTTTTTCTTGGAACAGTCCAGCACGTTTAGACCAGTAGCTGTGTGGTCCAGATACAATTTTATTAAAAAACAACAACAAAGAATTTAGATGTTGAGAACTAATTGTCTTAGCTTCCTGTTTATTTATATATATATATATATATATATATATATATATATATATATATATATATATATATATATATATATATATATATATATATATATATATATAAATATATATAAATATATATATATATATAAATATATATAAATATATATATATATATATACATATACATATATACATACATATACATATACATATATGTACATATATACATATACTGTGCTGAGTGGTTATATTACTACCTTAAAAAATAAGCAGAAACTCGACGTTTCGAGCGAAGGCCCTTCGTCAAGATACTAACTACTAACCGCTACTAACCGCTACTAACTCTTGACGAAGGGCCTTCGCTCGAAACGTCGAGTTTCTGCTTATTTTTTAAGGTAGTAATATAACCACTCAGCACAGCATTTTCA